TGCAATTGAATATAAATAAATCCCTTCCCCTGAATATTAAAACCCACCCTAATATATAGAATTCTAATTAAATTTCAATTGATTTGAAGCTAGCATGCACTATTCCGTTCCTATGTTGTTATTAATCCGTTCAGCCCGGATTTAGCTCTAATCCGTACCCATTTATATTATTCCGTTCAGGCTCGATTTAGCTCTAATACGACCCCCTTTAGTAATCCGAAGTCAACATTACATGTGCTGGCTTTGCCTGGCCAGGATGGGACCGCGGCAAAGACTGTTGTAGGGGCCTGATATTGGAGGGTTGAAGGCATGCACACTGTCGCTATGCTGCTTGTGTTGGCTGCTTGCAAGGACAAAGTCAATGACCGGTTATTCGACTGGCAGCAGCTCTTGCAACGTCGCAAGAGCTACCATGAGGCACCTCAAGATTGCTACTTGGAGTCTCTGAAGTTTTGTCGAGATCCTCCTTCCAGGTTCTTTCCTTCTCGCACTTCCTCCCTCGAGTGGAGGCTAATCCTGAGAAGAGATACCTCAGTTATCCCAACCTTGCGCAAGGCTCAGCTCGGTTTGGGCTTTGTGATGCTTTGTGGCTCCCCCACGTTACGAAGTGACATGGCTGAGGCCAAAGGCATTGGGTCCAGCTACCTGCGAAAACGCGTGGAGGAGCTGAAGCCCGATGTTCATGCTGGGATGCCCAAGGAAAGAATGCAAAGCAAGCAGACATGTCGTAACCGCCTGTGATCATCATGTGGATGTCAGGTTTTTGGGCATACACACTTCGGCTGGGATCTGGTGGCGCGCAACTTGGCACTGTGTCACAAGCATGCCTATGCTGATGGGAGCGAATATGAGCGAACGCGGCCAGGTGGACGGAATTCGGTACGTGCAGGCTCCGTTGGCGATGCCCTCGCCTAAGTGATCTCGGGGTCACGCGCTCAGAGTGCAGTTCGTCAACAGTGCAAGGTCCTCTGAACGGAGCTCTCGTGGCACCACCGTGGTGCCCCACTAAGAGCTGAGTGGCTTAGCTTTTCATCTGGTTTACCTGATTTTTGTTGCCTGTCGCCCGAGTCACTGGGCGACTTCCCAGAGGGCAAGTCCACTCCACATCCATTCCTGGCTGCGTGCTTGGAAGCCATGTGTGCCTTGCACTTGAAGATCCGTTGAGTCGAATTAGGTCTGGCACTCCCGCAGCGGCTGGGTTCCTCGAGGATATCTCCTCAGCTTGCCGGTGGAAGCTTAGAACTAGAGAAACGAGGGAGGAAAATTGAGGGCAGTCGCTGCTTGCTGCTGTAGTGGATGCTTTCCGAGCCTCAGAGGTCGCGGAGCATGGTCAGCTTACGTGGAGCGATATGGTCGGCGTCCAGATGTCACGTTCCTTGCCCTAATTAGCAAGGCAGACACCTGAGCGTGTTTCCGAGTGATCATGGCCGATCTACTCCCCTGCTGGAGGTCTTTAATACCATCCTATGCTGCGATCTCAGATTTGTTCCCTGATGGGTAAGAAAGTTGCTTGGATTGTCGTTGTTGGCTGAGGTGGCAGATTGCGGCCTTGTGCCCATTAGTGCGGCTCTTGGGCTTCAGAGTGCTTCCGAGAATCCACGGTCTCTTTCCAAAATCCTTGTGCTCAGGTAGCATCTCCGGTGCCAAAGCGAGGGTGGGATGGCTGCCTGGCAGGTGCGCGAAATTGCGCGAACGCATGCAAGTGCCATGACCTCGTCATGTAGCGATGCAGAGTGAGGATGCCTGTTTGGCTTTTTGGTCCACGAGAGCAAAGAATTCGCGAGGCACATTTCACGGTTTGATGCAAATGCACCGGATCTTCAAGCTAAAGCGCCTCTAATTGCCTGCCTTTGCAGGCGGCTGCAGAAGCCCAGAAGGTTGCAGAGCGCCTCAGAAAAGAAGCTGCCCTGCGCCAAGTATTTTCCAAGCATCCAATGCACTCGCACCTGTTGGTACTGGCCCCATACGGTGCTTCAAATGGGGATGTGAGTGTCCCCAATTTGAAGCAGGATTGTATGCTGCCCCATTTGCCTTGGCCTTTGCGAGGCCGGGACGTTCAAGCGCGCCGGGACCATCAAACATCGAAAGCAACAGTTAGGATCCGATGAGCCGCTCCCAATTGAGGCAGCCGAGGCCGGACCGGTAGCTTCACGGATTGGATAGGTCTGGGCTATGGTGCTGGGCAGGGATTTATGTCCAGCATTTGTATGTAAGTGTACTTTGATACTTCACCGAGTGAGAAAAATCGGTCCTTTCAGAAAGCCGAAAGCGGAAGCGTAGAAAGCAGAGCTAAATATGAGCAGTGAAGAGCAGCGCAACATGCAAGGAGTAGTTGGGAGTGCAACAGTCATCGCCGTGGCAAGACTGAATATGAAAGCTCACCTTTGATGAGCTTCATATGGTGGCGGGCAGTGTATGACGTGTGGACAGGTTGCCATCCTTCTGCAGAAGGCACAGCTATGCTTTGGCGCTACGAAAGCGCTGAATTCACCGGAAGCTCTGTAACACTGTTGGCAGGGTGAAGTTGCAGTCCTGGACGTGCGGGAGGGTGACATCAGAAGCCGGCCTGCCGGCTGCGTGCCTCTGTTGCTGCCTGAGACACCGGTCACTGCATGCCACTGCCTGTGCACTTGCCACATCGGACCACTAAGTCACAAAACAAGTCACTGGACGAGTCAGCGGTTTCTGCTGGTCCGAAGGTCGCACCCATCAGAGACAAGCAATTTTGCAGCGCTGCCGGATGCGGAGCTTCTTGAGCTCAGCGAGCAGATGATGCTGGGAACAGGGCCTGTGACCCTGTGCTGCCTGTGCTGCATGTGCTGCATGTGCTGCTTGACCTCCAGCATCCTTCCAATCAACCCCAACACTCCAACGTTGGAGGCCAAGAATCCTTGTTGGAGACTCAAGCTCGCCGGCCAACCTGGCACTACTTACAGCAAGGGCATGCGTGGGCGCAGTTTACAATGCACTGTTGCTGTAAAGAAGCAGGCTAGCTGCCGGCATGCAGCACTGCTGCTGGCTGCGCTTCTTCGCTTATGGCCCAGGCGCGTGACGAGTCCCAGGTCCCAGAGTAGATGTTCTCAGGGGCCGGTTATCAGTGATCAGTTATTCGGGCAGCGGGTGAGAACATGTAAGAACCGGGAAGCACCCACCCGCCCATGCCCCGAACAAGGTTTCGTGTTTCTTCTTGTGAGTCATTCAAGGGATTCTGCAGTTTGAAGTTTTGGTCTTCAGGCAACCGCTGCCCGAGTGACCAGCAAGCGCGGGAGCAGAACCTAGCACAAAGCTGCAATGTATGGCCGTTTCCTTCATTCGGTTTAGCGCGGAGCGAAGTGCCATGCGGCGACGCCCAAGAACCGTGTCCCATGTGCGGAAGGCAGCGCGCACTCTGGCAGCAGTCTGCAGCACTGCAGTATGGTTTGGGTTTTTCAGTGCGCCTTTCACAGGAGAGCGCTGGCACCCAGGAACCTGGACCTGGAAGAAGGTTTGCCTCCAGGGAAATGAGCTGGACGAGCGAAGTCTCAATTTAGAGCCCGACCCGTGTTCTCGTCCATCCATGCTGCGTGTCTTGAAGCATGTGCTATCATCAGATGAGGTTGCCTTGATTCTGGACGCTCTTTCAACGGAGAGACTTTCAGCAACAGATGCCCTTAACAACCCCGTCAAATCCGCTTCAGTAGTCCTAGCAGAAGACGGTTACTGGAAGCGAGGGTCCCTGGCCAAGCTGGTCAAAGGGCTAGTGGAAGATCGGCTTCTGCCGTACATGCGGTCTGTTCTTGCTTGCCCTAGCCTGCAAGTTGCCCAAGTCCTCATACGCCGCTACGCAAAGGACGGCTGCAGGAGCTTTAAGGCCCATGTAGATCACCTGTCTTTCGGCACTGCAGTGGCAGATCTGACTCCAGTGCCAGGAAGTGGCTTGTATGTATGTAGTCAGGGTGGCCACTCCGGCGGAGTGGACGCAAATGATGCTTTCTTCATACCTTTCGAGAGTGGTGATGTGGCAGTGCACGGCTGGGAGGTATGGCATGGCCTTAAGTTAAAGCAAGGCCACGAGAGAGTCTCGCTGATTGTGTGGACCAGGCCAGCCCGTGATGTCCCTGCGGGCACCTGCTCGTGGTACTGGAATCACACTGACCGTAGAGCTGGGTATCATATGGGCATCGAGGCATGGAGGCATCGCCTACTGGGCCAGACCAAAGCCGCACTGCTGCGAGCAGCGCTTCAAGAAAGCGAGCTGAGACATCTCCGGGAAAAACTACGGGCTTTAGGCGGCGCACGTCAGGCAGAGATGTGGTTTCTCAAGTGCACCGCAGCAGCTTCGCGCGAGAGGCTCCGAGACTCCAAACTTACCAAACAACTGTACAGACTGGCAGACGCGCAAGCAGCAGGCTCTGTTTTGCAAAGCTGGCGTCCAAACATAACTCTTGGGCCGGATGCGCGCAGGATGCGTAAAGCCTTTCAGCAAGGCTGGGAAGATGCGCAGGAAGACCTTCCTGATTTTTCCGAGCGTTCTCAAGATTCTGAAGTGGATGACTTGGACACCACAGCGGGAGGCATGTTGGCAGATCTCACAGCGAGCACGCATGACGCGGATCATGCAGCTCATTTGTTGCGACACGCCGGGCTGGTAGTTTTTGATAAGCAGGATGATGCACTTGACCGTGATTTGTTGTGTACATGGTTGGCCGACTTTCGCAAGTATTTCGCACTCATTCAACATGAGCTCGGCTGTCAAGGGATTGAGGCGCAGAAGCCGTTCATGTTCAATGAGGTTTGCAGTCGTCTTTCTGAACGCTACGATGTACGCTTTGTGCAAGGCAAGGGCCAATACAGCTTGGAAACCATGCCCTGGAAGCAGCTTATCTACGACGTGCTTGGCGTTTCGAGCAAGGACCTGCAAGGGTGCCATGTGACTGCATGACATCATCCTTGACTCGAGTTCAGTGTCGTAAAGAGACTCCCGCTCAGTGCAGGAGCTTTGGCATGGTGTGGTGCTGAGCAGACCCGGGGCTCCGGCACAGTCATGGCACCGGGACTCTGGGCACCTTTTCGACCAGATGCTCCCCGCCCATGCTGTCACGATTTTTGTTCCGCTGGTGGAGATCACGCCGCAGATGGGACGAACCAGCTTCATCCCCCAGACCCACCTGGATAAACAGGCCTCAGACAAAAAGCCTCACGTGACTCCCGCTATTCCGCTTGGCTCATGGCTTGCATTCGACAGTCGCATTGTCCACAGAGGTGAAGCAAATTTTGGCAAAGAAGACCGACCGCTGCTCTATTTTGTTTACAGCAAGGAATGGTTCCGAGATGTTAACAACTTCCCGTCTGACAAGCCCTTGTTTCGCACTTAGCGCTCTTTCCTTGCACAATATGCGCGTGGAGACTTGATCTTGCACGTCTGCAGAGCGTCAAACGGCGGTGTAACTCAGGGGTTTCATGGGTTGGTTGGGTAGGCTGACTGAGGTGTTTCTGCCTGCTGGCTGAACCGAAGATTAGCAGCGACTCACCCCCAACCTGCAGCCACGAAATGACAGAAGGTCAGGTAGTTTAGACGTGTTTAGACAGCCTGTGCCTCATGCCAGGGACGTGCGACCACTCCGCGGTGGTTTTGACGCCTGGGTCAAGCAAGGGCTGCCGGTTCAGAACGTGAGCCCTGAAAGTGTGAGACTGGCAGGTTACTAGCTGCCACTAGCTGTAGATTCCCGCAGGTGTGGCCTGGTAGACTGCCTGTGCCTGCCTGCATGTACAGATGTTCCTACTGTAGATCATGTTCCAGTCCGTGGCACATGATTTGATTAATATCCCTGCCGGGGCCTGCCAGCTAACTTGCAGCAGCACGGCTGGCGTCAATATGTTCTTCTCTTGTAAGACCTCTCTCTGGTTAGACTCTTGTTCCCTGCAGCTCGTGCTGTGGCAGTCTCTGACAACGCTCTGTGTTCCAACTGTTTGTCTACATTCGCCGAAAGCCCGACGATGTGTGGCAGATCTGTGGGCACCAACAAGCCTAGGTCCACATGCTGTTCAAGCATCAGCTTTTCGGCAACCACTGTCTGTGCAGCCACTGCTTTGGGAGTGTTCACCTCACCTCACCACCCCATCCGGCCCTCCCCACACCACCCCATCTCGCTGAGAGGCGTCTTTCATGAAAAGCATTGGCTTTAAGCGCCAGTAGCTTCGACACATGCGCACGGCACATGCTCACATATTTTCAGGCATCGGTTCTGGGATATTGCAGGGGCACGCCTCGATTGATATAAACATGAACATTTTGACAGTCTTAGACATTTCTTCGATGCTGCAGCCTGCTAGCTGACTGAACCTGCTGAGCTGCCATTTCGTGTCCTTGCGCTTCCACGGGATGACAGAGGCTTGGCTGCATTCAAACTGTTCCAAGATGATTCAAAGATGAGATCAAACATTCACGCCTGATGAGGAGGCATCAGCACCCGCCGCTGATGGAGGCCACTCCTCCGTTGCTATGGAGTCTGAACACTACGAGTTGATGCCAACCTAGCTCATGTGCTTGCAAAAAAAACATGGCAGTTCTGTGAGAGGCGGTGAGGAGGCTCGCGGATCCCGGGTCAACGTCAAAAACTTGTCGCTGAGCCACTCGGCGGACGTATGACCATGATTTGGATGCCAACACTGCACAACCTGGATGTTCACAATGCAAAATCGACACCTCCGATCACAGCAGTGAATATTTACATGTTCTAAGCATTTCCTCCAAAGGCTTTTTGGATGGACTTGACAAGCGCGAGAAGCTTCGGTCAATCCTGCGCTCGTTCAGGCACCACCGCCGATGAACTGAAGACACTCTTTGCTGCCTGTGGCACTGTAACCGATGCCTGGGACCTGGTTGTTTTGGCATAAAGACATATCAGTCCTGCTGGGCAATCGCTACAGTAGGTACAAATCTTCACTGCTGTTGCCACATGATTTACAGCAGGCGTCAATCGTCAAAGCTATTGATTTGCGCCGCAGGCTGAAGTCAAGGTTCATCCGGACGGATCTTCCAAAGGCTACGGGTTTGTCTGTTTCTCGCTTGCTACTCAGTGACAGATCCAGCCCGTCCCATGCAGTGCCATCGCCACCCTAAACAATTTGAAGTTCGACGGTTTGAGTTCCTGTTTTGGTAACTTGAAGACTTGAAGTTGCCTGCTAATCGTGGTTTATTCAATTTTGCATCCCAACCACTGCACAATGTACTTTATAGATTTAAGCCACGCCTGCTCATGCTTCTGTGTCAGCTCCCAGGAGTACTGACGAGGCAGACAAGGCCGTCGCACAAATGAACGACTGGGCCTTTGTGAGTTTTGCTGGTGGAACGGTCTAGCTGCCCTCCTTGCCATGCATCTGCAGCTGACTCAGGGAAAGACCTTGGAGGACGTGCCCGCAATGCTTCAAAGGCTTCATCTTTTTTTCCACTCTGCACAGGACAAGGAACTCATTGTTGCAGCCTTGGTTGCCAGAGCAAAGGAATTTGCCAACTCCAAGTGTGCTTGAGGTGAAGATCGCGGAGCGGCGGTATCCGCAGGACGGCAAAGGTGACGGAGGTTTCGAGTTGTTGTGTCTTGAAAAGCATCTCCTCTTTGCAGCCTTGGCAGTGTGCAGGCGGCAAGGGCAAGGGGAAGGGCAAGCAAAAGGCCAGACAATTTTTTTATCCAGATGTTGCGTGTGTTTGCAGCTGAAGGTCCTGCTTGTTGGAGAGTATGTGACTTGACCTCCACACGCAGGCGCAGCAGCACAACTACATAGACCCATCCTACGCTTGGTATGGTACGGGGCCCGGGCAATACTCAAATCCCACGTAATGCAAAGAATAACTTCCGCTTGCTTCCTCAATCCAGCACATCGGCGCATCGCAAGCGGCCCAAGGCCAGCCAGTCGATCCTATGCAGAAGCCTTTGGTTTGAGCCTTTTAACTCTACCGCCCCCTCGTCGACCTGTGACTTAGGTTCGCAGCCATGGGCTATCCGCAAGCTGGGCAATTTGCAGCGGCAGGCTCAAGTGGTGAATGTAAGAAGATGCCAGGTATTACGACGGGTACAACATGACGAACCCTTACGGCTATGACCTTGGGGCGATTTACAATGCCATGCCGCAAGCTTGGCTGCTTCCATCTCTGAACCTCACTGCTCGGTCTCGTCATGTCTCGCCGGTTGCGAGCTGAGACACGGCATCCCGCCACCGATCTACAACGGATTTGCCATGGGGGCTGGGCTCCCAGAAGCTGCCTCTAGCGGCTCTAGCGCATCCGGAAAGCCAGGAAGCTATGGCTTTACCTGAGGCCATGGCAGGCATGCCGCAGAGATCAGGTAAGGCGTGCCTCTCAGGAAAGAGCATCTTGCTTAACGCGGTTGATTCGTTTCCATACGAAGGCGCCGGGGGCAGTTGACCCGAATGCCATTCTGGCCCTGCAGCAAGCACAAGCCTTCGCTCTACAGTCGCAGGCAGCTGCAACAGCAGCCTCTTGAGCCGCTGTCCGCTGCCATGACGCAATGTTTGATGTTTGGCCAGGCTATGGAAGCTGCAAGGGACCACAAGGCCTCCCGCTCAGACAAAGCCACTGGGCGCTTGTAGCTCTCTGGCTTGTTGCCTGGTTTGCAAGGCAGCGGGCACAAGCAAAGATGACAGCAAAGGCAAAGGCAAAGGCCTGCGCGATAAGTGTGTAGTGTAGCTCATGTAGCTCACAAGGCCACCCTGGTGAGGCAAGAGTAAGAGCAAGGTGGGCAAGGCCAAGCAGGCCCGCGCGGCAAAGCGCCATGCCTAGCCGCGCTGCCTCAACCGGAAGTCTATAAACAGATGGATGAAATGACAAGGTTTCAGGGGTGCGCGGCTCGGCTGGCGCTAGATCACCCTGCCTGCAGGAAACAACAGGGCCCGTACCGGAGGCGCCTCCGCCGGACCAGGTCCCCACCGACTCATGCCAGGTAGCAAGTGTTTTATGTGCTTCTTTCGGATTGCTCCGCGAGGAGTTTGTAGGATATCTCAAGTCAAAGAGCGAGAAGAACGGCTACGGCTTCATCGTGTGCAGTGAAATTCAGGACCCGGCCCTGACCACGATCATGCGAGAGATGGGTCGTCATGGTCACGGTCGTGGATTAACAGAGCCAGGAGCGGTACCAGCGGGATGTGTGGGTCGACAGCGAACAGCTTCCTGAAGGAGCTGCTTGGCAAAACGAAGCTGTTTGCTAGGAGCTGCAGTCAAGCCAGAAACTCTAGAAGAAACGTGTGGCTTCTCCTAAAGCTACTTTTGCTCCAGTCTTTCTGCTGAGAGATCAAGGCATTTGAAAGCAACGTAATGCGTTGAAATCGCTGAAGGTTGACCCGGACAGTCGACCTGAGCTCAAGTTCAATGTCACACTCAGCAGCGACCATACTGTTGGGACACCCCTGTTGTGAAGCATTGTCAAACACTGACGCCGTCATGCACTAAGGCATGAAGGGGCACCCGCAAGCCAAAAACGCCGCAAGCTCACATTTGCACATGAGTCGTACATCGTGCTGGTGCTTCATGAACAAATTCCGTGGATGGCAGGTGTCGCTTGCTTGATAAGTTCGGCTGGTCGGCAATGTCAGCAGCTTAGATGCGCCAGAGAGGTTTATTGACCGTCGCTAGGTTTCTTGAGCGCATTCGAGCAGGACTGTCCAGCGCTGTCCTTCGGCTCGGTGCATGGGGTGCCGATGACCAGGGCAGCCTTGTTAAGTCCAGATATTGTTGATGGCAAGCGTGCAGTTTCCGTGAAGTGTTTAAGCAAGGGGCCGACTTTTCGGGTCTCACGTTCCACTGTACAGGCAGACAACCTTCACCAATTCACCGCAGCGGTGAAAATCTTGGCTCCCTACACACTTGCTTCTTTCTGTCCCGAATCACCGCCCCAGCCCTCTCGCGGAGCCGACATAGCAAATGACGCACGTCGCAAATGTGCAAGATCCAACAGCTGCTATTTGCGGATCACGAAACACATGACCCATGCGAGCAAGCAGCTTGGGGTGCAGCCCGAGACAGAGACTTTTGACGGTTGCAATTATAGTGAAACCTATGCGAGCATAGCTCTCGTCGTCAGTTACCCACACCTGCGATCGGCTGAAAACTCAGAATTTGGATTGGATGCAACTCCGCACAGACTCAATTGCAGCCAGACTGCAGGACTTCGTGGGTCTGAGACGCTGAGGCATGCATGGTTCGGGGCTACAGATTGGCCACAGCACTGACGTACTGCTGCCCTTGCCTACCCGAAACTTGGCATTCACTTTCAATTTGAACACCCTGGCGAATCAAAGCGAATGTACTTCACAAGAAACCTGAGGAGCTGTTGAGCCCGCGAGACGTGTGTGTCATCGGCGGCATCTCTCAGCCTACCACGAGCTTTGTGTAATCAAAAGTAAAGCGCACTTTTGGACCGAGGCCTGGCAATCCTAGCTTTGAGCGCTGCGCTGTTTCTTGGGCGAACAGAGGATGTAAAGCTTTGTGGCACCAGCCGACAGCTATTTGCTATCCTTTGCTTTTTGTAGGTGTTCTGCTGTAGCCCGATGGAGCGACTCCCCTGGCGAAAGAAGTCTCAAGATGCTGCGAGAGCTCCCTCTGCGTTCCCGCAGCTCAAGTGCGGCAGCCACCCTTTACAACAATTAGGAAACACTTCAGCAACAACCCCTGCTTGGTTTGCAGTATGCTTAGCTCTACGACATGGGGGTTCCGCGCATGCTTTTTTCATTATGGCCGGGCGGCTCAGGCTGTTTGGCCTGGCCAGCAGGCAGCGGAGCCAGGCTGGCCACAGAAGGGCTTAGCGATAGCAGGCACCAGGCTCCTGTTGCCAGGAGGAGCTGCTGATTTGGTCGCAGGAGCCATGGCAGAAGGCTCCCTGTTCCGTGCAACAGGCCTGGCACTCTGAGGAAGCGAAATATTTTGAAATTTTCTCCACTGAAGATGCTTGAAGGTGGGGATCGCCTACAAAGGAGACTGCAACTTGGCTCCAGACAGCGAGGAAGAGGAGCCCTATGACTACGGCGCTTGGCCACCAGTTACTGCACTGCAAAACAAGATAGGCTGCCGTACATTTCGTTCACTTGGATGTGCGGGCTTGCCGGACCTGGAGGTTAAAAAAAGCTCCCGCGACACTTGCTTGCATGAGGGCGCCTACGCCTACAGCTGCTGTGAGAGCACTCGTTTCTGATTGATGCCCTACGTACGGGCTTGCAATACAAGCATGTCACGACCTCGTTTTGCCACTGCTCAGCATGCCGACTGCGCCCAGGAAGCGCCGAGACACCACTACGCTGAATGCCCACAGGTTTGGCCACTAGCCAACTATGAACGAGCTGTCAGCAACAATTCCCCAAAGCAGTTCCCAAAAGCTCAGAAACTTCCGTATTCCTTTTTCAGGTGGGCTGGACTTGCGAAGCGGCCTGGCTGCAGGCGGAACAGCAGGTAGAATCGAGCAACTTTCCCTTCGCTTGTCCAGGCGTTTTTGGATGGCTGACCTTGTGTGTCAGTCGGAGCACCTTTGGTTGAGTGTTGGCCTGTTTGATTTATGCCCAGGCCGAGGGCAAAGCTCCGGAAGGCAACAACTCCTCGCCTGCCTCTACGAGAGACACCTTGGGGCCCATTATGCCCAGGCAAGGTGCAAAGACCCGGCTGAAAATTAGCCTTGGGCCCTATGTTGTACCAGCAATTGCTAGCACAAGCTCCAAGGTCAACCCAATTTAGAGCGCACTGCACTAGTGAAACCCTTGCAGGTACAACCTGGTGGTTTGTCGAAACAGCGCGGCCCTTGTTTGCCATCATGTGGTCGGCTTCAATCAGCAAGACGAGGTTGTTACATCCAACTCTTCCAAGATGTTTGCCCCAGGCTTCCTGCCATGGGCCATGGTCCACGTGCACACAGATGGTATCTCGACTTTTATCTCGACGTCATATGCTTCATGGATGTCGAGGGCTGGCCAATGGTTGGATGCCATTGAAGATCGCCCCTAATGTTGCTGTCTATTTGCAGCTGAAAACTTGTGAGGTTTGCAAGCCAATGGCACAAAGCTGCTCGTCCGCAAAACCCTTCTCAGTCAAGTTTGCTCTGCTAGACCAGTCCCTGTGGATGGAAAGCCAAGCCGTGAATCAACAATCTCGTGACAACACGTGTGGCACCTCTGACCGTAAGGAAAGTCTACTGCGGCGCGGTGCTTACAATAGTTGTCCTGTTCATGATGCCTTATCTGCATCCTGTCAGCCCATGTGGCCGGCTATGCGCAGGCTACAAAGCTGGCCTACCGTTGTGGCCGCTGTCCTGCTGAACAAGCCGATGAGTATCTTCGCTGCAACGTTTGCCAGCTTGGTTGAGGTCCCACACCGAGACTTTGCCAGCGGCGCCTGACCCTGAGATCCAGGAAGTGCAAACACATAGCAGGGGCAAATTGGCCAGTCTGCAACGGCCCTATGCAACTATGGACTGGCAAGCAACGCGCAGAGACGATGAGATGCACTGCAAAGGCAGAGATTCCTTGAAGACTTCGCACCCAGACAAGGCCCGCCATATTGACACAGTAAACGTTCGTTCATCAGTTCATCAGGAGGCCAGCATGTGAGGGTGAGCTAGGACGACATGATACGCTTCATGTAGCAGACAAGTGCTTTGGCTTAGCATGTGCTTGCAGGCCGGCTGCCAGTTGTTTTGAGGGCATGCAGCCAGAGAGATGCGGAACTACTTGCGGGATTCGGTGTA